ACACCAGTACAGTACAGTATGACTCACTGATAGGGGGGAGGTACTATCACAGAACTACACCAGAACAGTACAGTATGACCCACTGATGGGGGCGGGGGAGGTACTATCACAGGACTACACCAGTACAGTACAGTATGACTCACTGATGGGGGGGGGAGGTAGTATCACAGAACTACACCAGTACAGTACAGTATGGCCCACTGATGGGGGTGGGGGAGGTACTATCACAGAACTATGTCAGCCAGTACAGTATGACCCACTGATGTGGGTGGGGTGGGCGGGGGGCGGCAGTAGATACAATTGTTGTCATTGTTCCTGTAGAGTTACTTCCAACCCACAACAAGCCTGTAGAGGGTTTGTAAGGAGAGGCTGGTGAGTCTGAACCACTGACCTTGCAGTTCAAACCGATTTTGAAATCGAGTGCTTATCCTACAGCGTCACACAAAGTAGGCCCCAACTCATGGTTATCCCATGCACAATGCATGGTTAAGGAGTCCTGGTGTAGCACTGTAGGATAAGCACTGGACTGCTAACCACAAGGTTGGTGGTTCAAACCTACCAGCTGCTCCTTGGAAATCCTATACAGGGTTACTGTGAGTCAGAAGTGACTCAGTGACACTTAACAACAGGATAGCTAATACACTGGTGGTGCTGTAGGGTAAGCACTGGATTGCTAACCACAATGTTGACAGTTCAAACCCACCAGCCACTCTGCAGAAGATGAGGCTTTCTGCTCCTGTAAAGATTTACAGCCTCAGAAACTCTATACAGGTTTGCTATGAGTCAGAATTGACTTGACAGCATACACAACAGAATGGCTAAAATAAAAAAATGAATGAGCAAGTTTTGGTGAGGATAGGGAGGAAATGGGACACTCATTAATTGTTGGTGACAAAGTAAGATAATACAGTCTGGAAAAGCTTTCTAGAGCTCAAAAAGTTTAACATAAAATTATCCTATGACCTAGCAGTTCCACATCTAAGTTTCTGATACCCAGAAGCATTTAAAGCAAGAATTTAACAGATACTTATATTAGTCCCATCACCAGATGAATAGATAAAAAACAAAATGTGGTAAAGTCATAGAATGGAATACTATTCAGCAATGAAAAGGAATGAAGTACTGCTGATAAATGGTACAATATGAATAAGACTCAACCATTACAACAGGTGATAAATGTCAGACACAAAAGTACAAATATTGTATGATTCCGTATCATGGACTAATAGATTTGGAGTTACCAGGGACTAGGAATCCTGGTCTGGTGCTGTATAAGAAACATTGGACCGCAAGGTCGGTTTGAACTGCAAGGTTAGTGATTCAAACTCACCAGCTCCTTGGAAGTCCTATACAGGGTTGCTATTAGTGGGTACCAACTTGATGGCCCTTAGTGACAACAACAATGGGGGGGAGGGGGAGAGAGGGAAGAGTCTTGCTATGGTGCTGTAAGATAAGCACTAGATTAGTAATTGAAAGATAGGTGGCTCAAACCCCCCACCACCCAAAACCCTGTGTAGGATCTGACTATGAATTGGAACCAACTCAATACCACTTAACAACAAACAACAGGGGGGAGGAGCAATGGGAGTTATTGCTTAATAGATATTGGGTTTCTATTTAGGGTGATGAAAATTTTTGGAAATAATGGTGAAGGTTGCACAACATTGTAAACATAATAAAAAAAATTAAGAGAAATAAAATTCTCTGTCAAATTGCTATAAAAGTTTCTCAATGTTATCTATCTCTTGCCTACTAAGTAACAAACAGTTCTTTAACCCCTGCCATGACGACTTTTCAGTAGTATCCCTCTATGGGATATAGCAAGTATCCCAGAGCAGTGGAAAAGAGGTGGGCATTTGATGATAGACCATTTAAAACCCCAGTCAAGGTATGCCTGTGGGATGAGTCCACACAAATGACTTCCACTCCGAAGCTGAGATCACACTATTGTAAGTTTTGTGAAGTTGTTAAAGGGAACTTGCTAAACAGTTTACTCATATCTTTATAAATGTATTGTTTGAATCATGTGGTTAAATCACAATATTTTTTAAAAAGTCTCCTTAAAAAACTTAGATAAAATGAAGTATCTTAAGGCTTATCTCTCTGACCCCCAGCTCCATCCATGAAGCAGTGATTCTCAATCTAGTTGACTGGGACTCCTGAAAGCCACTGATGGCAGGGTCCCACCTCTTCACATGAGTCTGGGATTCAATCTCAGAAGGAGGATTTTAAAAAGGAATCTCTAGTTCCAAAGGGGCCACCTGGGTAGCAAGCAGTTAATACACAGCCTGCTAACTGGAAGGTTGAAGGCCTGAGTCCACCCTGAGGCATTTTAGGAAGAAAGGTCTAGGGGGGTGAAATGTCTTAATACAGAAATCTTCCACTGAAAACCTGATGGAGTACAGTTCCAGTTGTACACACAGGGGGCTCAGTCAAAGTCAACATGACACTGGTTACTGACTGTAATGTGTAATGTAGCTTGAGAATGACTCTTCCCTTGGCTGTGGCTGTTAAGTGCCCTCTGAGTCTGTTCCCACTCATAGCAACCTTGTATAGGGTTTCCGAGGAGGAGCAGCTGATGAACTTGAATTGCGCATTAACCCACAGTACCACACCTGCACTCCATTGGCTGTATGACAACTGTTTTTGCTGCTCAGAGGTGCCGCTGTCCTCTTTGGGATATAGTAATGATTCAGAAAGTGTTCTGAGAATTGATGTAAAAGGATAAATTACATACTTGTATATAACAGACCCCAAAACCATCCTGTTGTTGTTGTTGTTAAGTGCCGTCAAGTCGGTTCCGACCCATAGCAACCCTGTACAGGGTTTCCGAGGGTGTAAATCTTTACGGGAGTAGAAAGCCTCATCTTTCTCCCGTGGAGCGGCTGGTAGTTTCAAACCGCTGACCTT